GACTTTAGAATGTAGAGGCTATAAATTCTTCTGCTATAAAGCATTAGTATGTGAGGTATTAGGTGTCAATTTTAAGTTTTGGATGTAAGAATAACATAGGTAGCAAAAGATCAGCTGTACCAGATGCTGTTTCTTGTTATTTTGTTTGGAACTACATCAATCTCCTAAGAGAGAACAGAGGTAGTCTATTTTCTTGGCTCTATGTGGCTTGTCCAGAGACTCTGAAGATTCTGTAGATTCATTAATCATAGATACTATATGTACATGGCTTTTGGTTTCAGGATCCAAGCTGTGGCTCAGTATAGAGGAACGGGTTTTATTAAATGACTAGTGAAAGTAGAATGGGCACCTATTACTTTGGAAATGTAGATTCTACTTGGACGAGGTAGAAGGAAAATTGAATGAGAGAATCATAACACCAAATGCCAAAAATTTACTAAGGAAAGAGAGTACCTGGAAGTCTTATTCTAATGAATAAAGTTAGTGGAGAAGTTCAATAACTTGAGGAGAAATTTCAGTATGTTTTAGACAAAAAGGCATGATTCAGGAAGTATTTTTAGCTCTGTTACCTGCAAAGGGCTAACTGGAGAAGTATTAAGGAATTGAGGAAAAGAGAAATCTACTTAAAAGCAAATATGAGGTCTTAAAGACCAAACTAGATTTACACAAAGCGGAAATGGATCTAAGTACTTCTAAAAATAGGGATATTAAAATGGAAGTTATTTCAGACATTGTTGAATCTGAATGCGTGCCCAGAGACGACAGAGACAGGAGAGCCCACAGGACAGAGCAGTGTGACTTTCCTCACAAAGAAAGCATTAGGATCCAGGAAGGGATTGAGGAGAACACTGTAAATGGACTGATAGTCTTTTGTGAGCTCAAGTGGGGGCCCTTCCCTTAAAGATTGCAACATCTATTCAAAGTGGTTATATAAAATACGAATAGATTTAAGAATCGAAAACTGGGAAGATCAGGGTAAGATATCTGAAGCATTATTTGGTGAGTTTCAGTGTCTCAGCTGTTGTAGATGGAATTGCCAATGTTTATTTATTTATTATTTATTTACTTTTTTTTTTTTTTTTTGAGAAAGAGTCTCGCTCTCTCGCCCAGGCTGGAGTGCAGTGGCGCAATCTCGGCTCACTGCAACCGCCGAGGCCTCCCAGGTTCAAGCGATTCTTGTGCCTCAGCCTCCCGAGTACCTGGGATTATAGGTACCTGCCACCACACCCGGCTAAGTTTTGTATTTTTAGTAGAGATGGGGTTTCATTGTGTTGGTTAGGCTGGTCTCAAACTCCTGACCTCAAATGATCTGCCTGCCTCGGTCTCCCAAAGTGCTGGGATTACAGGCATGAGACACCACGTCCACTGGAATCGCCAATATTACTGGGGCCTGAGTGAACGTACTCAAGAAATGTTGGGATGTGGTGTTTGAAGGAAAGATGAGACAAAGAAAAGGGAATTTAGGCAGGACAATACTAGATAAGTTCAAATGTGGGTGTGGTGTAATGGAAAAAGGCCCTTTAATGAAGATTATCCGACTCAAGAAGATGAAAACAGATAAGATTTAGGTTTAACAAAGAATACTCTTGGCAGACTCAGAATTCTTTGATTTCACATCTCTCATTGAGGGAGCCCACATAATGTAGAATATGGAAGGCAATATTAGAAAAACAAATGTCTGGGAGCACTTGAAGAAAATGACTAAAATGCTGAAGCAACAACTCAGCTGAGCCTTCCTACACAGAAAAGTTGTGGCAGAAGAAATATTTTTGTTGCCTTGAGTCAGACAAGTTACTCAAAGATTGAAAGTTCAAACATGAGGGGAGGCTAAGTTCTGAGGAAGAGTAAGGTCTGATCCCTTCTGGGCCTCAAATTACACAGGCTTCAGAAGGGTAACCCTCTAAAGCAATGGGCTTCCTAGGCCTGGCAACAGGGCCCGAAAAAAGAAAAAGACCAAAGAAGTTTAAATACTCAGATGGGAAAATTGAATACCTAAAATGAGACCTAGGCACTGAAGAGGTCACCACTGCAAATCCCTAGACTTTACAAAAAGACAGGAATGTTTTGAATGCCACTCACTGAGGCAAAGACAATACCTGCAGAGAGGCTCCACCCAATCTCGAGCTTGCCACTTCCCATAATTATTAAGCTGCTGATGACAACAGGCTCTGGTAAGAGCAGGCTTACCAGAACCCTGCTATGGCTGAAGATTTTCTCTATCTACCTTCCTTCCCTCAGACATGCCCTAAATCTCTGCTTTAGTCTCTGGTAGGAGTAACATAGACCTTCTTTATACTGAGTCCTAGGGTCAAGGAATATCATTTTGCTTGAGAAAAATGTATCTTAGTGCTAGAGACTCTCTTGTATTTTTTAAATTTATGAGTGTGAAGTTGTACTCTGATAATTGCATGTGTCCTAATAATTCTTTAGATTCTTCAGAAAAAAGTAGACTCTAGGGACTTCAGGATATCTTAATACAACTTTGAAAATGCCGGTGAGTCCAGGTTTTTTTACTAAAGGGGAAAACAAAAACAAACTCTACCCAGACAATCAATTGAGATCCCACTGGCTAAAGCTAAGCAGAATACAAAATTAGGAAGGAAAGAAATGAAAACCTTCAATGTTTTTGGAATTTTGCTTAAGAATTATGAACTCTGATATCCCAGACTTTAATTTACAAAGAAGGGCAGAGAGATTTAATATTTGCTGTTTAATTTTTCCCCAGATATTTGGCAAGGGAAAAAGGTCCACTGTATTGGGTTCATTGCTTAACTTCCCGTGAGTTCTACTGGATACCCCTGCTGGGCCTAACACGGTATGGAAATAAGAAAGAGCAGTGATTTTTGGCTTAAGATATAATATGGCTTCTAGGAAATAAGAGCTAGACTACCTGCTCATGATCCCAGGAGGCTAATGGAACAGTGATGTATCACAGTTCCTGCCTCGTGAATTTGGAAGCAGGATTCTGCTCCTAGGTAACAATAACTTGACTGTTAATTTCAAAGGGTTAACAGACCCAAAATTTGTAAGTGGTGGAAGGAAATCTTTTCTCCTTCTATCATTTTATTTCTCTCACAAAATGGACTTCATTTTGGCAGTATTAGGAGAAGTATTTTCTGCCCTCTCTCTCTGCCTTCTCACTCACTTCTCCCCAAAGGGGAAACGACTCTTCAGATTGTTAAGAGGAGAAAGGAACCGTGAAATATGCCCAGCTTAGCCAGTTCCAGAAGGACAAGTCACAGGGTGAGTGTTTTCTGTTCTGATCCTCTGTCCCTGAGTTAGGAATATTTAGGTCAGGCCTACTTTCTAAAGGTAGGTCGGAAACTCCTCTCTCTGTGTTCAGCCCACAGAACCCAGTGGATTGGAGGCAGTAATCCTGGGTAAGTGTGTATTCTCTGCAGACCCACCTCTCCCTTGGTGGTGAGGGTGGGGAATGTCATCCCAAGCTCTAGCCTTGGAAGAAAAGAATTCAGAAGCCCAAATGAGACCATTTATCCAAGCTGAGTTCTCTAATCCAAGTTGTTATTATTATTATTATTATCATATTAAATACATGTTTTTGACCTCTGTGTCTTTTACTCCTCAAATCTTCCCAAGTTTCAAACCAATTAAGGGTATGAGCAGTTATTCTTGAATCCCAGCAAATACTAATGACTAATACTTGTTAAGTACCTAGAATGTGCCAGAGACTATGTTAAGAGTTTTATAGGCATTGCTTTATTAAATCCTCACAGCAGTTCTGTGAGGCAGACACTGTGGTTCCTCACACCCCACAGTTGAGGAAACTGAGGCTTAAAGAGCTTACATAATCTGCCTATAGCCATACACAGCTAGCAGTGGTAGGTCTCAACATGAAAGTAGATCCAGCCTGTTGACTGCATCCTATCGTATAATCATCTCTTAGCTCTTTAGGAAAAGATGAGAATAGAGCTCCAGTTTATTCTTGCTGCAGAAATTTAAAAATTATGGGACCATCAGTCTGTTGTGAATGCTGTCTAAAGCAGATCTTATCTCTGAGAGTTATCAAACTGAGCTGCTCCAAAGGCTTGACATAAATTACATGTTAAACGAATAGTAAGTTGTTTTAGACTTTTAATTTCTGTTCTCTTTTTGGTTCATGACACTAATTTCACATCTGTAAATTTTTTTTTTTTTTTTTTTTTTTTTGAGACAGAGTCTCGCTTAGTCGCCCAGGCTGGAGTGCAATGGCGCGATCTCGGCTCACTGCAAGCTCCGCCTCCCGGGTTCACGCTATTCTCCTGCCTCAGCCTCCCGAGTAGCTGGGACTACAGGCGCCCGCCGCCTCGCCCGGCTAATTTTTTGCATTTTTAGTAGAGACGGGGTTTCACCGTGTTAGCCAGGATGGTCTCGATCTCCTGACCTCGTGATCTGCCCGCCTCGGCCTCCCAAAGTACTGGGATTACAGGCGTGAGCCACCGCGCCCGGCCACTGTAAATTTTTTAATATAAAGTCTGAAGGGTCAATGTGAAAAACTTGTATCCTAATCTGGCTCGAACTTCTACTACAATGTGAGAGTATTTTTAAAATGTGGTATTATGAGTAATCGATAATAATAGTCATAGCCCTATTAGAATTCCTTTCATCTTAAAGAATTGCCCTAAGTATTTCATAAGGATTTTGCCTCAATCACTATATTTTGGCCACTCACATTAGACCATTTTAATTATGAAAGAGTTTATAAAATTCGAAAAAAGTGTCTTTATAACCATATCAGTGATAAGATCAATTTAATTTTAGGTTACCAATTTTGTAAGAATCATGACAGCTCAATGTTAAAACTGGTAAGCACTTCAAATTTTTACACTATCATTTCTTAGAGAAGTAAAATAATAATATACTGCAAGCGCATGTAACTATCAGAACCACATGGAAAAATATATTTCAGGCTTTGGTATGTTTAAAGAAAAGCTTCTACAATTCTTAACATTGAAGCTTATCCACTATAACCCTTGACTTATTTAATTACACTTTAATTTTATATTAGTGTATCATCAAAATTTTGCCTTTGAAAGAAAATGTTAAAGCATGTAAATGGAAGAATGTGAAGATATCTCCCTGAGGTTCCTTCCCTTCCAGGGGACTTGTTGGTGTCATATTTTTACCTCTGAAATCGGTTTTTCATAGACATCCTCTCCTATGGATTTCTCCTGGGCAAGAATGGCATCTCGGTGCAGGACCCGCAGCACTTTCTCTGGCTCCGCAGACCCGTAATGAGCCTCCAGAACCTCAGGTTTGGTTTTCTCCGTCTTCAGCATATGGATCACGTCTTCTCTGGCCTGTAATAGAAAGTGCAGCAAGATCAGACGATTGACAATGTAAATCACATACTGGGCTCAAAATATCAACAGAGAGCTTATTGAATACATCCCCATTTTGTCAGGGCTATTGGCAAATTCATTGGGTATTCTGTTTTTTTTTTTTTTTTTTTTTTAACCAAAAGCAGATTGGCAAGCAGATACTCTGCTTCAGGTTGCTAGGAAGCAGGCGAGCAGAAAAAAGGATTTGTGCTAATATTAACTACATAAAAATTGCTTTATCTAAGTAGCAATAATTCGGGATGGGGTGGTGGAGGGAGGCAAGCAGGGCTGGTCCTGGGATACTTAACCTGTTTCAGTGCACGCGAGGTCAATGACAGTCTAAAATCTTCTAGTTTTCTGTTGATGTTCTCAATGTAGTATTCAAATCTGGTTTAAAATAAAACCCTGCTGCCTCCATTCTAGTTATAACTTCATGTGTCAATTAACAAACAGCCTTTATTGATGATTTCCTGTTTCTCATTAGGTGATTCATTTTGCACAGAAACACATGGTTGAGAACTCATATGATGCTTGGCTGTCCTTTTCAAATCTAATGTATCTAATGTATTCACAATAAAGGTGAAATTACACCCCTTTAACATCCAGACTGTCAGTTAGATGAGTCAGCTTGGTAGGTCAGTTTTGTTTGTTTGTTTCTTAGCACAACGTATTACTGAAGCTTTCAAGAAAACCACGATTATAGGCTTTATATCATACAGTCTGTGGTTCCCATCACATAATGCAAATACACCTGCTTATGTTTTGCACTGGTTAGTAGGGATGATCTTTCTACTTATGATGGAGCTGACATTTGCTGAATGTATTTCCATATAGGGACACACTTGGAGCTGTTTTTCCAGTAATGGTGATGGGTAAGAAGTGCCCTGACTTCATTCCAACTTGTACTAAAGGAAAATCTGGTTGGGAACAAAGTTTCAGCCTATGACAATGGAATAGAGTTTTCTCCTATATTGATGCTAACTGTGGGACTGAAATTATAAACCTGGTTCATTATTATGATATTCTAAAGAAGAGAGCTAACTAGTCAACTATGAGTGTTCACAATACGACCGTTATAAAGTTTGTCTTTCTCGAGGTTTCCCACTTTTGTTGCCTTTTCAGTCTCCCAATTAATCTAATTTCATATGGCTGCAGAATAATTCATTACTGAGATGTCAATGAACTGGAATTTGCAGATTTGAAATGTTTCTGCCACATATACACATGCTTACTTCAAGACAAAAATGGAAAATATGAATTTTGAAGAACCTGGTGGTTTAGAATGTTAATGAATGTTGAAGTCAGGAAATAGTTTAATGGAAAGGCAATGTGTCTCCATGCAGGTTGAAAGAAGATAAGCACAGATGCAGGGTCAAGTTAGCCTGTACACTGTGCTCATTAGAAAAAGGTGCCCACTTTATCTAGGAGACACAGCCCTGAGTCAGAGCGCAGCTCACCTAGTGAGTGAAGAGCAGGCTGTCTTTTAGCCCTGTTCATCCTCTCTGCCAGGCACCATTGTGCAAGGCATAACTCCCAATCTATACTGAAGGAGCCTCAAGTTATGTAGACTGCTACTGGTCTTCAGGCAGAAAGTGCTCCTGTGTTCATCTGACATAGGTGAATATATAAAGCATGTTCTAAAGTAATGATTCACAATGCTGACTGTGCTGAAGTCATTTGAGGAACTCTAAAAAATCCCAAGGCCCAGGCCGTTCCAGACCAATTACATTCTAATCTTTTGGGGAAGGACCTATATACATCAACGCTTTTTAAGGCTCCCAGGTGATTCCAGGGTTGAGAGTACTGTGCCACACTAATAGATTACGAGACATAGCAACTAAACTGAATACAAATCCTTGGCATCATCCAAAGTCAACTTGATTACTTTGGTGCAAGTACATTTCCTTTTTCCGATCTTAAAAAGCTGTCATCACTTTTCTCCTTTAAATTATCCTCACACCCTAGGTCAGTTTTATGCTTTGACCAAATCCGAAAGAGACGAACTTGTCTTTAAAGAAGAAACACCATACTGTGAATTTAGTGACTTATGTAATGACAGGAAAGGAAAATTTAGAATCACATTTAAAGTGAAAAAATGGCGATGATAGAAGGTTGGCAAGCTGGAAGTTCTTGATAACAAACTACTGTCTGTTTCTCATCTTTAAATCAGATGAAGTAAAGGCCATTTTCTAAAGTTCATTTTTCTAACATGTGAAATGTGAAGTCTTATAGAGCAGACATAGAATGTACTGTTCTTTGAAAAAATAAAAAAATAAATAAATAAAAAATTTTAATATAAAAAGTAAAATAGAATGTACTGTTGTTTATACTGTAAATTGAGATACTGATTAAAAATTTCTGAAATACTAAAAGAAAAGGGCTTAGAAGACAGGGTAGTAATATTAAGGGCTGTTTTTGTAATATTTAGGATGTTTATTTTATTTTTCTGTTTTTTGCTTTTGTTTTTGTTTTTGAGACAGAGTCTCAGTCTGTCACCCAGACTGGAGTGCAGTGCCATGATCTTGGCTCACTGCAACCTCTCTCTCCCAGGTTCAAGTGATTCTCCTGCCTCAGCCTCCCGAGTAGCTGGGACTACAGAACATGCCACCTTACCCGGCTAATTTTTGTATTTTTAACCTCTTCTTTTTGTTTTTACAGGTATGTATTTTCTAAATTTTCTACAGTAAATATGTAACTAGTTTTACAAAGAGAAACAAAGTAGTGCTTTCATAAAGAAAAAAGAAATACTTCATCATTCCTTATTCCCCATAAATAAAACAAAGGCAAATAATTTCATAGAAAGTTCTTTTTCATGCACTCAATGCTGAGAAAGCCACCTTCATTCTGGCTATAGACAGTCCTATGCACAGTACCTAGGATTTAACACAAAGGAGGACATAAAACAAAAATTGCTCAAGGATTATTCTATACCCTCTTTTTGGCATTGTCTTGATTTCTTTCAGAATTATTTCAAACACACCAGTAAAGCCAGAGGTAAAACAGCCACTGAGCTGGGTAAGTGTACTGAAAACAGCATAGTATAAGGATTATAGGTTTTCTCACCTAAAATTTATTATGATTTAGTCACATTCTAACTAGACAGCTGAAGGAATCACAGCAGAACTATTTCCATATGGTCTTTCCACAAATGACATTCTGAAAAAGTGTTTGTCCTTAGTTATGGATAAAGGTAATCAGAAAGTGGCTCTTAAATGTAAACTTTATCAAGTAATGTTGAGAGCAACAATCTTACTGCTGGTTTGCCCAAGTTTACATAGCTCGAGCATAAAGAAAATTAAATAAATCTTAAAGCTATCAAGCAAGTATGAACTTTAATTAAAATATAGGAATAAAATTTATATCATGATAGAATGAGTCCAGCTTTGAAGAGACTCAGAAATAGTTTCCAATCTCAGCTAAGGTGTGTGATTTGTGCAAGCAGTTAACATTACTTTGACCTAATTTATCATTTATGAAGTTGGATCATAATAACTTTCTTATATACTTGTTGTTAGATTAAAATCAGATGTAAATATATAAGATGCCTAATATAAAACTTGGCATACAGTAGGTGCTGAGGCAATAGTAATTATATACTATGGTTTCTGTTATGTCTCCATGATTAAATAACTTTTTGCTGCATGGGTAGAAAAGGAATTTTATAAGATACATTTTTCCCTAACCAAATATAACATGTAAAACTGATATTGTTAAAACTGTCTAGATATTTCACAATCTACTCTTAGGAATATTTTTTTCAAAAAGGAATTTCAAAATCAGAGCAGTCTCTCCAAAAGTTATTTAATCTCTCTGACTGTTTCCTTGTCTGTAAAGTGGGGACACAACCCCTATACATTATAGGGACTGTGTTAGGCTCTAACAAGATAATGCAAATAAAGTACTTTTAAAACTGTAAGCAGGTAGCTATTTCAGTTTAATCATTTAAGTTATTTAGTTTAAAAATATCCATATATTATTGGTATTGATCATCTTGACCCCAAACTTCCTAATTCTCTTAGAAGACAGTTTCTTGTGTTCCAACTGATATCAAACACCTATTACTTTCCTTCCCCGAAATACACTTTTGCTTGAACTGTATTAATTGTGATATGCTACATATACTATATATTTCATCTTAGTTTAATTACCCTAGATACTAATTACTGAAGAAAAAGAGGTTATGGTGATATAATACAATGCATTTATTTACAACCACACTATTCACTATAAATTTACTAAAGCCTCTTTAATTGTATAGTAATAATCATGGAAAGAGGCTGGGTGTGGTGGCTCACGCCTGTAATAAGAATAATAGTGATAATAATAAAATAGTAAATCAATAAAATTGTGGTATCTATTTAATCAATGTATTAATGAAGATGACTGTGTGATCACAAATTTATTTTACTATTTGAAACAAATGATTCAATTTATGTTAAAAAAAGATTCTATATTTTGGGGAGAAAACTTTACATCTCCATTTCTGAGAAACTTGCTAATTTTTCTATAAAAGAATAAAGTTCAAAATGTAAGAAAGCTTCTGTTCTTGAGCATTAATATTTTCACATAGAAATTTATCCAAAACAATTTGTTAAAATCCTAGGATGTGGGGAAGCTGCAAAATAGACCACTATATTTAAATACATGTAAAATGACCCAGAGAAGAATGCTTTGAAGATGACTCTATGTTCAACTTATTTACTCCTGATGATAGAGAACAAATATGAGATTAGAGTAGAGAAACAGACACAGTTGTCACACCATTCTCTTCCATCAGACATAGTTCTTCTTTGTGCCAGTGGAAGTGTAGGGAGGCCAAGAACAAGGATGTTCCATAAATACCCCACAACTGAAACTGCACCAGGTGGAACAAGGGGTTTCTCAGTTGACTGGATAAGAAGCTGATTCAAAACATGTGGGGGCAGCAAAGAGC